TGCCCCATCCCTGGCACCATCCCAGGGGAGGTTGGCCGGGGCTCTGAGCACCCTGCTCTAGCTGGGGATGTCCCTGCTCAGGGCAAGGGGTTGGACTCAATGAGCTTTGAAGGTCCCTTCCCACCCAAACCAGGCTGTGATGCTGTGATCCTCTGTGGGGATGAGCAGATCTGTCCTGTGGGTTCAGCCCTGGGAGGTGTTCTGCCCCTGGGCAGGGCTCAGTGTGAGCCCTGTGGGTGCAGAGGGTTTGGGTCTTGAGGCCAGTCCTGTTCCATGTTTTAGGATGGGTGCAGGGACTGTCTGCAGGACACTGGGGTAGGTTTCAAAGACCTTGCAGCCCAGCCATGCTCAATGTTGGACAACAACCTGATCTCACCATGCCTTGGAGCATCCTTGGTCCCACCACAGCCCCCACCATCCACTTTCCTGCAATCTTCTGGGACACGAGTGGGGCAATCTGCTTGCTGTAGTGAAACCCCATTTATCTATGAACATGACAACTTCTCCTTCCAAAGACAACCCAGAAAAACCCACACAGGGCATCGCACCCCTTGAAAACCAAAACCAAGCCGAGTGCTAAGCAGCTGGTTAGATAGCTGGTTTCAGGGGCCAGTGCTTACACCACCTGACAGGTGATTTTTATGCTGTTTTGCTGCTCGTTGTCATAAGGAAATTGTTTTCTCCTCCAGTGAAACTCACGCCCGTGGTTTTCCGCCAGCGCGGGAGGCGATAGCGGGATCCCAGGCGGAAGCTCTGGCTGCTCTCCTACCTGAATGGCTGCTAAAAATAGGACTTACTCAACCAGCCACCAGCCCAGGGTATAAAAGAGGCCCCTCCCAGGGGAATCTGACAGCCCTCAGTGCAGGTGCCCCAGGAGCTCGTCTTCACCCGTGTCCCCAAGGGCAGAAATACTGATGGAAAGGTAAAGAGCGAAAGAGCAAATAAAGAATCCTGTGGCCAACGCACTGGGATCAGTTAAAGCAGGATGGGGGGTGTTGCTTTGCTGGGATTAAATGTAATTGAATAATTTAGGTGGTCCTGCTCTGGCAGGGGGGGTTGGACTCGATCTCCAGAGGTCCCTTCACGTTCTGTGACTCTGTGATTTATTAGCAGGTGCTCATGTGGCTTTGGTGTTGGCTCAGATGAAGGAAACTTGTCTTCTTTACCCAAAACCAGGCCAGGCTGGGGTGGTGGGTGTGCTTGTGCGTTGTGATGCAGGCTGAGCAGAGGCTGGTGCCAGCTCCAGGGTGGTTTGTACAGCCCAGCGTGCTGGATGCTGGTGGTGGCTTCCCGTGGTGGGGAAAGTCTGCTTTGGGTCTGGTGCTCTGAAGGGTGAAATTGGTTTTGGATGTCGAGCCAGCAGGAGGCACAGCTCCCTGGTGTTCAATACCAGCATGTCCTGTTTAATTTTGCTTGTAAATGTAGAGAAAAAGGAATGATGGGCAAGGCAGGGACTGGGTGCCCTGAGCTCCAGCTCACAGAGGGGCTCTGCCAATGTTGGCAAAGACTGAGGATATCTGCAAGAGCCCCTGTTGCCCTTGGCCCCTCCGAGGGCTGGGAGCCTTGTGGGGGAATGTTGGTTTTTTGTTTTTAGCAGCTGATACTTTAAGGTGAGACACTAAAAACTCTGGGTTTGTGTGATGGGGACAATCCTGGCGTGCAGCAGTAGCTCCCATTGTAGCATGGGAACACGTTGCAGTAGGAAGCTACAGCACCATGGTGCTGGGGTGCTCCCCGTGCTGGATTAAACCCTCTGGAAGATAAGCAGAGCCCAGCTCATCTCCCCCCTCCCTGCAGTTTCACTTCCTTTATCAGCAGTGTCGACAGCCCCTCATAAAACCCTGTGTGTACAGTCTGTGTGAGGAGCACTCAGATAACACCTTTAAAAGGGGGTTGATCATTTACCAGGAACAGAAATCTTGAACACCAACCCCACTCTTTGGGTGAGATTTCCATCGTGCCCAACCTGATGGTGCAGCCTCCTGGGGAAAGCAAACAGCAGGCTGAAAATGTTGTTCTTCTCTGCAGCAAAATGGGAGCTCTGGGTGTGGAGAAGCCTCGGTGGGATGCGGGGAGGCAGCCAGCAGGCAAGATTCTCTCCCTGGACAGGCAAGGGGCCAAGAAAGTGCTGGAGATCTACGTCAGGCGCTCGCTGAGCTGCTGTGAGAACTCGCTGGCAGCCAAGAAGATGCTCCAGGAGGGAGGCAGAAAGCGAGGGAGGAAGGCAGATGGGCTGCAGCGGTCGAAAAGTGACTTCTGCAAGTATTCGTGTGCCAAACTCAGCCCCAGGAAGGACCCGGAGGAGGGACACAAAGCCCCAGACCTAGAGGAGGCTCTGCAGGATGAGAGCAAAGCTCCTGGGGAGGTTCCTAAAGAAAAGCTGGAGCCCAAGAGGAAAAGCACAAAAAACTCTTCTCAGGGCAAAACCCAACGCACGTGGTTCAAAAGCTTCTTAAATTTCCTCTTCAAGAAGAGCCCTGAGGAGCAGAAGGAAAACACAGGGAAAAAAGCAAAAGAGAAGGATGCCAAAGCTCCTCACAAACCAGAAGAGACTCAAACACATAGAGGGAGCTGGAACACGTCCCCATCACCAGGCAGGGCCCCGAAGAGGAGACCTGGCCTCAAGAGGGTTTTCTCCTTCAAGAAGCACCCAGAGGACGAGCGGGGAGAGGTGGCAGCTGGGGGGAGGGCCAAGAGACCCAGCTGCCTTCCCCTGCGGCACATCCAGGCACCAGCCACGCCAGGTGGGACCCCAAACCCCCATCCCTGCCCCTAAACCAGCCCTGCTGCCAGCGGGACCTCCACTGGGCTTCCCTGGGCAGAGCAATGGTGCTTAGTGCTGGCTCCCAACCCTGAGCATCACCCCACTGTCGCTTTCTGGAGCCTGGGATGGGTTTTGGAGACTCTGACCTCAACCTGCTGCCCCAGGGTCAGTGTGGCCGAGCTTTGAGCTCCCATCGTTGCTCCAACAAGTTACCCCAAGCACCATCCAGGCACAGCTTCGACTGGCTATGGTAGTTGAGTTTAAACCTGCGTTTGAGAGCTGAGTTTAAACCTTCAGCCACTCCAGGGCCGACATGAAGCTGCTTTCAGTTTGCTGCAGGGGAGGGTGTGGGTGGCCAGTGCAGCAGGCAGAGCCCATGGGATACTCTGACCCCAGCCCAGCCCTTCCCTAGGCAAAAAGCTGTTGAGGGAATTTTTGGGGAGCTTCAGCAGGTCCGGGGCCAGCGACAGCCACATGGTTTCTGTCCAGATCACTCAGCCCCATCATTCCCTGGTGGTATAAATGACTCTGGGGTGGGCATGACCCCCAGGTGGGGGCAGTCACTGCTGTGGCTGCTTTGCCCTTTCAACCAGTGGCCAGCACAACAATAATACCTGTTTTTCCTCCAGCAGATGTGGGGCAGCCCGACGGTTACTACGCCCAGGTCTCAGAAGAGATCGGGCTGATCGTGCAGGGCAGTGAGAGCCAGGGCAGCAGAGCTCGTGGCTGTGAGGAGCCACCACGGCCCGTCAGCACCGAGGGGGTTGGTGAGTGTTGCTCTTGCAGGAGCTTCATTGCTGGCACGTGTAGAAAACCTCTGTGCCCAAAGCTTCCCCCATGCAGAGCCTGCACGGCACCCAGACCTTGCTCCAGTCCTGGCCCTGGGGCTCGTGTGACCTGGAGAGTCATATGAAGACTTTAAGGGAAGTTTTCAGCATTAGGGCTTGACCTGGGGAGAGAGAAATCCCAAGGCAGGAGGGTGGTTTTGCTGGCTGAGGATAACAAAGGACTCAGCAGGCAGAAATGGGTTTTGGAGGGATGGAGGTGGATAGACATGGCTCAGGGGATTTTTCCTGGAGACTAAACAGAGCATCTGGGTGTGAGGCTTGAAGAAAGGGCTGGAGATAACGTGGGATCTCTTTCTGCAGATGAAGCCATCAGGAGAATCGTCGCCTTGCTGCAGAGAGCAGGAGATGAGCTGGACAGGCAGGTGAGAGGAGAGCTGTGCTCAGCTGGATGGGGTCGAGGAGCCTCGGGGCAGGCTCTGTACTGCTGTGAAACACAGACACAGCGTCAGCTCCCCGGGGCAGGGAAACCAGCAGAACCAAGGCTGTGGCACCTTCCCATTCCCCGCCGGGGTGTGAGCAGGGCTGGCTGTCTGTCCTCCCTCAGCTGTCAGTCCTGCTGTGGAGTGAAGGCATCAGCACGAGGATGACACACGGGGCTGTGAGTCCATGACGTGTGTTCACTTGCTTCTGCCCCAGGTGAAGGAAGACGCACGGCTACGGATGTTCTTCAGAGACATCTCCTACAGCTCCTTCAAGGACCTGGCTGATGCCTATGTCCGTGAGGAGATGACAGCCAGCAGGCCTGATGCCAACCTCCAGGAGGTCCAGTTTGCCTTCGCAGTGCACCTCACTGCCAGGGTGGCAGGGATCTGCAACCAGGCAGTGAACAGGATCATGGGCTTCGGCACCCAATACCTGGAAGAGTCGTTCATCCCCTACAGCAAAATTCTCCAGGTAAGGGAGGAGGATTGAGTGTGGGGCTCGGCTTCCAGCAGCAAGTTAGGGCAAGTGATGTAATTTTAGAATCATAGAATGATTTAGGTTGGAAGAGATCTTTACAGCCATCAGATCTCACTGTTGCCCCAGCACTGCCAGGTCCCCACTGCCCCGTGTCCCTCACCCCACATCTCCAGGGCTTGGAAACCCCTCCAGGGGTGGGGACTCCACCACTGCCCTGGGCAGCCTGGCACAGCCCTGGGCAACCCTCCAGGGCAAGAAATTGTTCCTCAGGGACAACTGAAACCTCCCCTGGGGCAACTTGAGGCCGTTTCCTCCTGTCCTGTCCCTTGTTCCTTGGGAGCAGAGCCCGACCCCCCCCTGGCTCCAGGCTCCTGTCAGGAGCTGTGCAGAGCCAGAAGGTCTCCCCTGAGCCTCCTTTGCTCCAGGCTCAGCACCCCCAGCTCCCTCAGCTGCTCCTCCCCACACTTGGGCTCTAGACCCTTCCCCAGCTCCGTGGCTGTTCTCTGGATAACAAGGCTGGTGGGGGGTCTAGAGCGCGAGTCTGGGATGATTGACAGTGTGGGTCATGCTGGTTTATACTGGAGGAGTTCCTGGTGCTGTATTTTGCCCCGTGCTGCTCAGGCTGCCTTTGCTTTCCTCTTACATGAGCACAGCCCACGTGCACACAAGGAGCAGGACTTGCTTTGCTCCCTGCCCACTGCATCCCCACAGCCAGGAGATGCCCCACAGTGCACAGCATTACTGCAACCTGCTGTGACTGCAGCTTCCCTGGGGGGGAATCTCCTCAACAACCCAACTAGAGGACCAATAGCACCAGCTCAGTTTGGGAAAGGACCTCACAGATGGTTCCTTCTGTCCCAGCAGAGCAGAGAGAGGTTCAGCACAGACAACTTCGAGAGCCCAGACTGACACCAGCTGCCCTGAAGGACCTGAGCTGCCTGGGAACCTGCGGGTGCAGAGGGACGGATGGAGGGGACAGTCCCTGGTGGTGACCTGGATGTGGGGTGATTTTCTGACCTGTGGATTCCGAAACCTTCTGAGGCAAACCACAGCGACATCCACAGGAGCCTGAAATGCCTAAACCCCAGCTGGCTGGGGGCAAAGATCTGTGAATGGAAGCCCAGACTTCCCCCTCTGTTTGCACTCGAGCAGGAGTCTCACCGAGTGCACGTCCTGAGCCTCCTGCTTTGTTTGTTTGTGTTTGTGGATTTTTTTTACCTGCTTTTCTATACAAATTTGTGAATGTACAGTGTCATTTTTGTAGCTTCTGCTGTCAGCCAAGCGTCCTGCTCAGGAAAATAAACCAACTAAAACCCCAATAACAAGGTCCCTAAATGACATCCAGGCGTGTCTGAGGGGGGTTGTGTGTGGCTGTCACCCAGGGAATAACTTTTCCTTTGCTCCAGCTCTTGTCACCTGCTCCTCCCAAGCCAGATGTGGTGGCACAAGAGGAGACTTGCAGCAGCTACACGGTGTGGTCCTGCTAGTTTTTACTATTTATAGCATTTCTCTTCCCAGCAGAAGGAGATTTATTAGCCAGAGGAGCTTGATCTGACACCAAGAACTGGGTAAAGCTTGTTCCAAGCTCCCTCTGGAGCTGCCCTCGCTGTCACTCCCTCAAGGACCGAGGGGATTTACAGCTGCCAGGGTCTCACCGAGGAGCTCTAAGAAGATGTGAAATGTCAAAGCCATTAAGCCCTAATCGCTGGGAACGTTCCCAGCTAATCTTTGCCCAGACCCCTAAGCAGTGCCATGGATTAAGGCAGCTCGGGGCTGGGGGCACTGCCAGTGCTCAGCCTGGTGGCTGCAGCACGAGTCACTGCACTGCCAGGGTTGGACCCAGCCTGGGGTGAAGGGGACAAAATTTGGGAGCATTGTGGGATGACCAAGTGGGGTGAAGCTGATGATGATCTGTGGGTCTGGGTCAGTGCCAGGCGTGGGGTGACAGTTCCCTGTGGGCCAGCAGTGCCAGCCCGTGGCTGCCCAGCATCTCCTCTCCTGGAGGGTCTGAACTTTTCAGTGCTGGTGAAGCCCTAAGTAAAGCAAGGGGGGCAGCAGAGCCCTCGCAGGGGGGACGCAGCCCCTCCCCTCCCAGGTCAGCATCACCCTGTTGGCGAGGCCTTTAGGGAAATGTTTGATAGAGCTGCAGAAGGAACCAGCGGATGCCAGAAAGCCCCAAGGGAAGGGGGTAGAATCACAGAATAGAATCACAGCCTGGTTTGGATGAAAGGGACCTTCAATGGTCCTGTAGTGCCACCCCCTGCCCGGAGCAGGACCATCCCCAGCTAGAGCAGGGTGCTCAGAGCCCCGGCCAACCTCCCCTGGGATGGTTCCAGGGATGGGGCAGCGACCACCTCTCTGGGCAGCCTGGGACAGGGGCTCACCACCCTCAGTGCAGTACATTTCTTCCTTCTCTCGAGTCTCAATCTGCCTCTTTTATTTTCAAACCATCTCCCCTTGTCCTGTCCCACCAGGCCCTGCTCAAATGTCTGTCTCCATCACACCTTGCAGGGGCTCTGTCTAGTTTAGCCCGGGGTAATTAGGACTGTGAAAAACACCAAACCCCCCTCCCAGACCCTGCCTGACAACACCAGCCACCAGCCCAGCGCCAGCACCACGATTCCCTTTGGCCAGGAACCGACCTGGGGGAGTTTTACTGCAGGAGAAACCAAAACCCCTCCCTCCTCTGTGTGACCGTCACGACTCTCGTGTCCCTTGCCCGGAGTCCAGGGGCCGGTGCTGGGACTGTGCCCGGGGCAGGGTGAGCTGCTGTGGGGCACAGGGTGCTGACCCAGACAGGATCACACGACGCCTCTACCAGCTTTGCAGCTGAGCTGCTGCTCTGCCGGCTGTGGGCTGGGATTTGCATGGAGAAGAAAAGGGTTTTGTCTCCTCGCTGACCTCCCAGAGCACATCAGCTGCCCTTGGCACGTGGGACGTGTCTGCCAGGCAGAACACCGGTGAGAAAAGCAACTGATCCCTCCACTTCCTTCTCCTGAGCTTTCCCTGATGTCACATCTGACCCTAATATCCTCCTCCTGTGGTGGCCGGACCTCTCCCCACCCATCGGGCTGGTGGTGCTGGGGAAGGCAGGAGCAAAACCTGCAGAGCCTCTTGCACAAGGGGCTCCTGGATCTCAGATAACCCAACCCAAGGCTGGGGAGCTGCCCAGCCCGGCACGGTGGGATGAGGACAGGAGCAGCCACCCCAGGGCTGGTGGCTCTCAGAGCCCAGCTCCCTGCTCGGGAGCGACTCCACCACCCTGGCTTAATCTCTTGGTTATAAAATTGAGACTCTGCTTGCCAGTGGCCACTGAAGATATTAAGAAAGCATTAAAGAAAGGCAAGTTATTAGCCCCTGGGGTTTGATCTGTTTCCAGCTCTCGGTATTACCTTCATCCTTCCCTAAACGCCCTGTCATGGCTTCAAACAGCTCAGACAATCTCCTGGCAGGAAAATCCCTGGGATCACAGACACGGCCCATCTGGGCACTGATCCTGCCCCGGGCAAAGGCAGCCCCAGGCCCTGCACAGCCCCCTGCCCACCCTGTGCTCAGAGTGAGCCGGGGGAGCTTCTCCTGGGAGCACCTCAGGCTGCTTCTGGCACCCTGCACCTCCACAGCCCTTAGTGCCCCTTAATCCAGCTTTGCCCAGCACCAGGGAGGGGGGGGAGAGGGCAGCTTAGAACATCAGCCCGGCACTTAATGAGCTGGTTAATGCAAAATTTGCTGTCACTAAGAGGATGATGACAAGGTTTCATCTCACGGGAGCGTGGCACTGGGCCAGGCAGGGTGTTGTCTCCTGGGATGCTGTCCCGGGGCCTCGGTGCTTGCAGTGGGTGGGGGTGAAGGGCAGATTTTGCATCCCCCTGCCCCAAGAACCCCCCTGTAAGTCACAGCAGGCAGAGGGATCTGTGGGAAATGCTGTGATGTGCTGTCTGCTGGGCTTTCTCCTTCTTGGGGACTTTTCTGCCTTCACTGTGCACCTCCCCATGGAGCTGCTCACTTGCCTTCTTGCAGGGAGAATGGTTTTTTTGTGGCCATCACACCATCCTTCAATATCTGGCTCTGGGAATGGAAAATCCCATTTAATACCTTACTTCATGGCAGCTGCAAGGAAAGAAACTGTTACAAGACGCCCAACCAAGAGCCTGGGGGAAGAACATCTCCCAGCTCAGCTCGGTTGGGCTTTGCACCCAGAAGGTGCTCCTGGAGCACCACATTTTGTAGCACGTCCAGCTCCCGTGAGGAAAACGCCCTCCTGTAGTGTGCTGGATAGAGGAACGTGTTCCCACAGGCCCCGTGGGATCATTTGCACCTTTCCTGAAGCCTGGCAGCTGGGGCTGTGCTGAGCAAAGCAGGAGCATCCTACACCTCTGCCACGCAGTGCCCGGTGAGCTCCCCAGGGGCTGGTGCCTGGGCCTGGCAGGGTGAATGCCCAGAGCACACGGGATGGTTCCTGCCAGCACAACAGTGTCCAGATCAGCCCCAGGGAGAGCTGACACTTTTTGCCCTTCTCCTACCTGCAGACGTTTGCCAGAGCTGGAAGAATGCCCTTTATTGTTGTGTTTTCCCAAGGGCTGGAGGAGGCAGTGACATGAATCGTGCAGATGCAGGCTCAGATCTCCCCAGAGGGCTGGTGGAAAGGCTGGGGTGTGTGGGGGGGGCTCACCAGGGAGGGCATAAAGTAAAATCAGCATCTAGCACTGGCAAGAAATGAGAAAACCCACTCCAGTAAGGGTGTGTATCTACAGCAGGACACGGTCACACACAAATGCCCAGATCCAAGCAGTTGTTCACCCCTTGGATAGTCCAGATAATGTTCTAATACATCTCTGAGCTGCCAGCTTGCTCCTGCTTGGGCAGCAGCCACGAAGCCTTGGCCATACTGATATCTGGGGGGCTTGCAGGCAACTTTCATCTGCTGATGGGCAGCAGCCTGTGGAACTTCAACCCAGGGACATGTTGCTCATCAAGGTGGGGGTCTCTGCCACTGGGACACAGCTCTCCTCCTGGAGACCCAGCGATGGCTGGAGAGGCCGTGGAAAAACACATGAAAATTTGGGGTGAAACAGCACTGAAAAGGTTCTCTCTGGATGTTTGGACCATCCTCTATTTTCCTGTGCTCTCCTAGTGCCCCGACATGAGGAATGAAAGTTCTCACCCCCAGCCTGTCCCCATACATGTGTTACTTGTGTATCTACAACCCTGCAAGTAACATATGTAATATCTGATCTATAGCTTGCACAATGCGTGTGTTTGGACAACATGAGCAACACAACATTTAGTAATATTTAATAAATACATCTGTTTAAAATGGCAATTTTCATTCTGCATATTGGCAGCAGCGTTAGGTTGTCAAGGCTGGAGAGATATTAGAAAGCAAAGGAATTTCTGCCCATTTTTTAACTCTCACCCAGCTGATAAAGACAGCTCGAAGGCAGCTTGGTTTTGGTTCAGCAAGTCCAGTGCTGGGGACCACAGTGCTGCCCTGGGCATCCTTCTGGGGCCTCGGAGAGCACAGGGGGGAAGAGGAAGGCAAATCCAGCTCCTTGCTTTCCCCCCTTAAAGGATATCCAAGAGCCAAGCAAAGGCAAACCCCTTCCAACAGGGAGCAGATAGAAGCAGTATTTCCAAACCTAACCCAGCGTGACACCCTGCACCCACCTCGTGTGACGCCCTGCACCCACCCCTTGTGTAATATCCTCTGGCTTTAAGTGTCTTATACAAGTCTTTACTCACTCAGCACCGAGCTGTGCCTAAGCCAGGATTGGCAGAGAATCCTATTTAGGAAAACACCCTGGTGAACAAAGCAAGAAGCAAAGAGGTGAATTTGCACGGATGTTTGCAAGCGTGACGGGCACGGCGAAGTGGGGACCATGACCAGGAGAGCTCCTGGGGCACCCCAGAGCACTCGGGATAAAAGGGGAGCCTGGATTCCACCCTGGGCATCTGAGCTGCTTGTGGTCGAGGATTACAGGAGCCGTTTGGATCAGGGGAAAATTTTCTGTTTTTAGCATAGGCAGCAATTAAAATAGCTCATAAATCTACACGCCTCGGGGAGCTGTCATAAAAGGAGGTACAAAATCCATCTTCTGGACTCCTTTGCAGACAGGGATGAGCCTGGAGAAAGCAGAAGAGAGGAGAGCTTGAGGTTCACACGGTGGAAGGGGACGACCCGAGACATCCAGCTGGATACACCCGCTCTGGAGATGGCTGAGGAGGATCTCCAGGGCTCCAGCACCCGTTTCTCACTCTCCTTTTCGGGCAGTGGCTTTCTGGTCCTGTACCAGGTCGGGGTGGTCCAGTCCCTCCTGGAGCTGGCTCCTGAACTCCTCAAGTCTGCGTGCAAGGTCTACGGCTCGTCCGCTGGCTCGCTCATCGCCGCCGCCGTCGTCTGCGGCATCGGCCTCGGTGAGACAACTGCTGCCTAAATTTGCCCCCTGTAGATTTATTTATCTTTCCTAAAGCACCGGTGGGGAGGTGATGCTGGTGTAACTCACGCCCCTCACAAGGCAGAGAAGGAATCTGCAGAGGTTGCCACCTCTGGCAGCGATCCTGGGAGGATTTTGGGTGGTGTAAGCTGAAAGAGCTGGTTACTGCTGCCTGAAATCTCAGATCTCTGCAGAGATACTGCACAGGTAAATCTGGACGTACCTGTATGCTATTGGCTTTTTCTCCTGCTCTTTCTCCTCTTCTGTAAGGTCTGAGGAGTGCCAGGATGTGTCCCAAAGCAAAGCTACGTGGCCGCAGTGGGTGGCTATGCCCACGTGAAGCCCTCTGGTCCCTGTGGATCGGGTGCCTTGGGCTCCTTAGTGACAAATTGGGCCGGGTGGTGGTCACATCTGGACCTGGTCATGTCTAGAGCTGCCAGCCCTGCTTGCAGGTTGCTTCGGGTCACCCCACTCAACCCTCCCAGCAGGAGGGAGGACAGGGTGTGATTCCCATTTTGGAGAGCTGAGCACCTCTCCCTTGGCAGAAGCTCAGGGGCTCTCCAGCAGGATGTACTCGGGGGAAGGGCAGAACCCCTTCCAGCCTGGGGTTGGGGTTTCTCCTATTGTTTATTAGACAATGTGGAGCCAGCTCCCTTAGTAATAAGATCGTCTATGTATAGAATTAATTCAGAGTGGTTAATCCACTTTTAATAATCACATCCCCTCATATTTCCAATTACTGTCCCTGTGTAAACAAGTGTACACAAGGCTCAGAGCTCCAAAGGCTGATCCAAGCCTTTGAAGGCTTGATCCTTCAAGCAGCAGGGACATTTAGCAGGAGCAGGGGGTTTAGGGTTCAAATAATGTCAGGGAAAGCAGGGAGGACACAGGCAGTTCCTGAAACCTCTCCTAGAACCACTCTGCTAGAGCTAAAAAGAATGGAAAACTTTGGCAAACACATTTAGACAAAGCAGAGAGGAACCTTTCTGCCCATATGGGAATTGTCAAATCTCTACAGTTCACCAAGGGCTCCAAAAGTTTCCTCTCTAATTCCTCATGCTGGTGGAACTGGGTGGACCTGGGGCTGCCCAGTGGGTGTAAATCAGTTTGGCAACTGCTCTTGCTGTGGGCACCAGTGCTGAAATGGGGTCTGCTCTGCACCATCCACTTAGAGGTACTGAGATGATCTTGTGCCCCAAACACCTCCTCCCAGGGAAGAAAAGACCTTTTGGGTAGTGATGACCCTGGTTGGGTTTCTAATGAAGGAAAAGAACGTGGCACAAACTCTGCCAAACCCACCTCAAGGAGGATTGGGACAAAAAGAAGGTTCAAGGTGTGCTGGGCTCCTGACAGTGTGTCCCACGGGGTCGTGTACCCAGCCCCTGCCCTGACCTGGGCTGGGTGAGGAGCTCTGAGCTCTCTGAGCCAGGTTGTCCTCCACCAGCCCACAGGTCACCTCCTGGGCACAGCTTGTCAGCAGGGCAAGGGTTCAGGCAGGGACAGGGATGGCACAGCACGCCAGGATCAGCCCGAGCCGTCCCCCTGAGCCCTCCCCAAAGCTGGGCTTGGCTCCTGCCTCCTCCTCAGCAGATGGCAAAGACTTTTTCCAAGATTTCCACCACTCCTGGAACATGGAGCAGCCAGACAGTGCACAATGGGTGCAACACTGGCCTGGAGCATCTCCAGCTCCTTCAGGACCCCCCTGAACCCGCTGAGCATTGAGGGCACGTGGTGGAACGTGGGCCCCAACAGCCCCGAGCCGCTCAGCGCCGTGCTGCCCGCTCCCCTCCAGCACTCCAGCCAATCCCTCTGGCCATGCTCTGAGCCCATCTCGCCAGGCAGCCCAGAAACCTGTGTCCCTACAGAGCCGAGGTGGTCGGGGGAGGCTGTGGCTTTGTGGGGGTGCAGGGTCCTGGGGACCCCTCCTGGGTGCATCGCCCCGAGCGAGCTCCCCAGGGCAGTGGTGGGACCGAGCTCCTTCCCTGGGAGCACAGGATTGATTTCCTTGGAAAAGACCTTTAAGATCATCAAGTCCAATCATTAACACAGCACTGACCCTTGTCCCTCACCCCACATCTCCACGGCTTGGAAACCCCTCCAGGGGTGGGGACTCCACCACTGCCCTGGGCAGCCTGGCACAGCCCTGGGCAACCCTCCAGGGCAAGAAATTGTTCCTCAGGGACAACTGAAACCTCCCCTGGGGCAACTTGAGGCCCTTTCCTCTTGTCCTGTCCCTTGTCCCTTGGGAGCAGAGCCCGACCCCCCCCTGGCTCCAGGCTCCTGTCAGGAGCGGTGCAGAGCCAGAAGGTCTCCCCTGAGCCTCCTTTGCTCCAGGCTCAGCCCCCCCAGCTCCCTCAGCTGCTCCTCCCCACACTTGGGCTCTAGACCCTTCCCCAGCAGCTTCATTGCCCTTCTCTGGCCACGCTCCAGCCCCTCAAGGTCCTTCTTGGAGTGAGGGGCTCAAAACTGACCCCAGGATTCGAGGTGCAGCCTCCCCAGTGCCCATTCCAGGGGGACAATCCCTGCCCTGCTCCTGCTGGCCCCACTAGCTCTGATCCAAGCCATGATGCTGGTGGGTCAAGCTGACTGTGGTTTTTGCTGCACTTCTCTTCCCCCATCATTGTGCAGCCTTTAAAACCTGGTGTCTCCTGAGCCCTCAGCTGGGGCTCTGCTGCTCTGCTCCTTTATCCCAGCTTCTGGGACATGCAGATCCATGTAATGACTCTTACCACCGGCTGGGGGGTCACTGGGGGAGCCCAGATGAGTCCCAGCGTGGTTTAACCAGGGTGCCTGGTGTGCAGGAAAGCCCTAAGCAGAGGAGTTTGGGATCCACCTCTCATCCTCCCCTTTGAGCCCTCCAGCTCCCCGTGAAGCTCAGGGATTTCACCCACGTGTGAAAGCAGAGGTGGAAGGCAGGAACGTGTTGTGCAAATCACCCTGGCACTGATATAGGGGTGTCTACACCCACGTCCCCCCTCCCAGGGCTCTTTGCAGCCTCTCCACAAGCCCCGGCTGGGACCCCTCGAGCACCCATCCAGTGCAGGGGTCGTGCTCAGCAACACGTTGTCCCCAGAGGACCCAAGGGGGCTGATCTCCCCTTTTCTGCCCCACAGGGGGTGATCTCCCCTTCTCTGCCCCACACCACCCCCGCCCCAGCAGCAGTGTCACCCCGGGGTTGTAGACAGAGCTGCAAGAGGGTTTATTTGTGGGCAGTGTTACAAAGAGGATTAAACCCACCGCTGTTTGGGCAGCAGGGATATTGACCTTCTCTCTTTTTTTCCCCTCCATTGTAGATGAGCTAAAGGAATTTTTCTTTGCCATGGCAAGGGAAGTCAGGAAAACCATCCTGGGCCCTCTGTCCCCCAAGTGCAGCTTGCTGGCCAACATCAAGGCTGTTCTGCAGAGGATGCTCCCCGAGGACTCCTACCAGCTGGCGTCGGGGCGGCTGCACATCTCCCTCACCCGGGTGGCCGATGGCCAGAACGTCATGGTCTCTGAGTTCAGCTCCAAAGAGGAGCTCATTCAGGTAAAGGGACCTGTAGGAAGATCCTGACCCCATCACTGATCACTTTAACTGCATTGTTTTCTACCCAAGATGGGGAGAGTGTCAGGAAGCTCTGCCAGAGCTCTGCTCCCACCCCAGTGAGCTCCACAGGGTTTGGAAAGAGGGAGGAAGATGGTGTTAGGTCCAGAGTCAGGCAGGAATAAACCTTGCTAAAAAAGCAGGTTTGCTTCCAGCCTCAGAAAGGTGATGCTGACGTGTTGGCCAGCTCTAAGAGGTGCTGATGACTCTTTGCAAAGAGTTGTGTGGAGGCAAACATGAGCTCTCAGCTTTCTGGGCAGGTGTCTCCTTGGCCACGTCCCACTGACAGTGATAGATAGAGGTACAGCTCTAACATTGCTGGCAGCTATAAAAATAACAAATGAAGTGCTGTGACCTTCTCCAGAGAAGTGTTTCAGGTCATTTTTTTATGAAATGAGGTTTTCCCCCTTCTTGAAACCTCCCTTTTTGACATGGTCAAGAGCAAGAGCCTGGCTCCAGCTGACCTGTCAAGCTGGAGTTTGCAGGCAGCCAGTCCACAGCTCCTGTCCAGGAGAACTCTGACAGGAACATTCACTTCTGCAATCCCTCTCCTCCCCCAGGCTCTCCTCTGCAGCTGCTTCCTTCCTATCTACTGTGGATTCATCCCTCCATCCTACCGAGGTGTGGTGAGTGGTACTTCCAATAAAATACAAGCTCCCAGCAGTAGGGTCTTGGGTTTGAACTTCACTTTCCTTTGAGCAGAGAAGGACATACTTATATATTTTATATATATATTTATGTCTAGGCTACTTCTTCAGTTAGTGGAGGAAGATAAAGCCTCTTAGCTTGTTCATCATCCCATCCTAAGATGTTAGCTGGGTGGATTTGCCATCTGGAGAGCCCTGACCTGCTCTGTCTATGGACAGGGCCTGGATGACCAGATCCTGCCCTGCAAGTCCCCAGAGTGAGAGGAGAGTTCACCCACACTCGGGCTGTGGACCCACAGTTGGGTTATCTTGGGCAGGATCTGTCTGCAGCAGATGTTTCCATCAGCTCAGCTGCAGAGCTGCAGGGATGAAATATCAGAAGGTCGGGGGAGGATCCTCTCCCAGCCACGGGCATATGCAGATTCTGCAGAATGCTGCAGAGGAGTCAACACGTTGGGGCTGGCTTGTTGCTAATCCTCAGTGGAGGAGGAACAGAGCAGTGTGGTGGTGAAGCCTGTGCAGAGGGACCATGACCTGCTTGTGTGTCAGAGCCCACAAAGCCATGGCACCACAAAACCTCCCCTGGGGCAACCTGAGGCCGGTTCCTCTTGTCCTGTCCCTTGTTCCTTGGGAGCAGAGCCCGACCCCCCCCTGGCTCCCGGC